GGGAGAAGGAGGAGAGAAGACACGTACTGCTCTGTTGCTCTACCGATATATCACTTTGGTTATTTTAAAAAAAAAGGAAAAGGAAGGGCCTGATTACTCCAAGAAACAGTAAAGAAAATGGATTAATACAAAATTAAAGAGCATTGTGGTCTACTATAATGGTTCAAATAGAAAGAAATGAATTGATGCAGTTCAAAACGATGTGAACACTCCTGCTGACATATATACTATGTGACTGCTGAAAAAATGTATTGGTACAACAGAGGAACAAGAAGAATCAGTATAAATGGGGTTCTTTTCTCACATGTGATTGAGCCCTCGGATGTACACCAGCAATTCCCTGCAGCAAGTTATGTAAACCTTACCTGAAAGCATTTATTGATAAACATGCATTTCATTATATAAACTAGCATAAGCAAACATTGTATGAATTTCTGTCATTCTTCATGCTTTTCCTATTTTTTTGGTAACTCATACAATTTCGGTAACTCATACAGTGGCCACCTTGGTTGAAAATAATATACTGAACAGAAAAAGAGAACTTGCTGGTGCAGCATCCAGGTAAGTACTATGGAGATGTCAATATTCTTTTATTTCCACTGCATTGTTTTCTTGTTTAAAAGACACACACAGGCAAAAACAGAAACACAGACAAACTGAGTGAGTCAGAGAGAGAGAGAGAGAGAGAGGTATTTACATCCCCCTCCCTGAGGAAACAGTGAAAGATTAAAATACAGTTTTCATCAGGGAAACATCACAGGGAGAAAGGATTAAATATTCTCATCTCCCCTTGCCACAGTTTTAAACAAAATAATAGGTCTCCACAGTTGTGGTGTAGGACAAAGAGGAAAAATAAGCAATGGAACATCCAGCCACAAATCTTCCATGTAAGATAAAACTTGGTTCTCAAACATTCATTTTTTTGAAAAGCATAAGGAAAAAGCATGTTAAGTTTCTTCTTTTAAAACAAAAACAAAAATGGAAACAGTTCATCAGGTGAAACACATTTAAGAAGTCTCTTGGAATTGTGCCAGAAAGAAAGCAGGTGATTTATGAAAATGTTTCCGCCGCCAGAAACAACATAAAAATAGGATGGGCCACCATCTATTTGTCAAGAACTAAATCAGAAGGGAATTCGGCAGATTTACAGCAAGTGAGAAGCTTTCTTGTGAATTCTGAAACAAGATGTTGTCCCTCCTATTGCCATAAATTCAGCTTATACTATATATGTCATACTCCTGTGGTGTTTGACAGCTAGACTTAATAAATGGAAAGGATCACACTGAGATAAAGAAAAAATGGGGAGGCACGGGGTCTTGCGAGCACATTGTTGCATACGGACAACCGCAACTTCACTTCCTGGCTTCTCCTGTTCAAAGGGCCAGATACAAGTATATACAATCTGCTCCTGAGAGCCAGGGAAGCACATCACTAGTACTACCAGCCGGAAGACCTCAGGGTAGACCAACATTTTCTTTAAAAGGTACCTTTCTATGCTCCTATCTCTTAACTAGAGCCTGAAATAGTTGTTTTTTTAGAGTATAACTTTCCAGATTTCATCAACATGTACCTTTTCACTTTTGAGTCATTTAGCAGCTTTCAACAAGGACAAAAAGCAAAAACAAAACAAAACAAAAGGAGTCACTTTGTGAGTCATTTAGCAGCTTTCAACAAGGACAAAAAGCAAAAACAAAACAAAAGGAAAAGCATTATAGCACTCTGTGGTGTGATACACTTTGACCTTGTGACACACTTAAACACATGGATGAATCTAATGAAGTGGATTGTAATCGGGGAAAGTTCACAGGCAAATGAACTTTTGTTGATCTTATCAGTGTCACAATATTTGTGTTTTTGTCTTTGTTTACAAATATTTGATTGATTGATTGATTGATTGATTGATTTCATTTCATTTCATTTCTGTACCACCCATCTGGCAGCCAAGGCAACTCTGGAGTAGAATGCAAGACTCTTTCTGCTGTATTTTCTCTTGTGTTAATTAAACACACACCCCCATACCCCTCACATTCAAGATGTGAAAATGTTTCAGGATTTTGGCAAATTCTTCAAAAATGAACTAGAACAAAATCTGCAATGGCCAAAATTAGTATGTGCAACTATCAGTATTGACAGGGCCATTTTGTAACTCTCCTGCTGTTTAGGTATTAAATATATGCTATTTTTCCTGGAAAAAGAAATGGCAGTCCTATTTCATCACTTCCATGGATCAATACCATGGGCTTCAAATCTAGATTTCTATAAAGTAAGTGCTCCAACCAGGTATCAGTCTGGTCCTGGATCAGTATTTGTCAGTTTTAGTTGATCCAAAGTCCAGGCAATGGTCTGGGAAGAGTTACAAACCCTACATGAAAGAGTCCAGGGGCTATGGACTTGCACAAAGGACTGTGGGCAGCTCCACAATTCTTATTTTGCCTGTCCCCACTGAAGGCAATTGGGGACCAGGAAAGTCTGAGTTTACAAGGGCACCAATGAAGAGACCCAAGGATGGGAGTCAGGGAAATGGGTTGCTGGTTAAAAAATCAGGGCTGCAAGTTCTCCTTTCCACACAATAATGTCAGAGTTATCTCAACCTTTCAGTTTGGAGTCCATGGCAGAGAGGTCACCTACTGCCTTTATCCTTACAGTCGGTGGCAGCACTCACATCCATATTTATTTATTTGTTTTTAAAAAAATCTCAAGTTCTTTAAATCCTGTCTGTGAAGAAATTTGCAAATTCTGACAAATATTCATAAAATATTGAACAGAAACGAAATACTCAACTAAACCAACCTAGACATGAGCACAACTGAATTCATTAGGACTATCTCTGAGTAAACATGCATCGAATTGTACTGTGTATCAAAAAGATGTAAGAATCCTAGGATCAAGATGCAAATCAAGCCTTTATATGGTGAAAACAGAATAGTTAGACATAGTTGGGTGGGCTGAGTCACGTGACTGATCTTACAGGCATCAGACATGCAGTGGATAGATCTGTATGTATCATCAGACCTCGCATTAAATTACCCTGCTACCCTGTGATAAATGTTGTCCTGTTGCTGATGTTGAAGTATAATTCAGTAGCAATCTGGTAATCTCTTGTGTATGGATTCAGGTTTTGTGGGGCAGAGAATCTCCTCCTCCTTATTCAGTGTTTTTTCTCTCTTCCTGTTGCTTCACAAATGCAGTCTGAAATGGCCTCTATGATCCATAGCTATGAATTCCTCAGTGTTGTTTCTCTAGTAGAAAAAACACCATTTCCTGATGGAGGAACTCACTTTTGGAATGTCAATGGTCAATAAGCTGTAATGATTTTGGCTATGTCTCTCCAAGATCTCACTTGATCCAAATGTCAGTCAGTATCCCTGGCATTGTGCTTACATCTCTCTTCACAGTGTCCTAATTTTTGTATTAGGAACATCATTCCCTGACGATGGCAACACCATTGTCTCTGTTTTGATGGATTAACTCCCAACCCTATAAATGTTTTATATTTAAATCACGGGGCACTGCACACTGTGAGTCTAACAGCATAATAAAATGTCAAGCCTTTTGTCGGAAACTGCACTTAAAAACTGAAATTCTTCAAAACCAATGTTAATTAAAGTCTTACTAGAAATATATCCACTTGTTTTCATATTGGTTTCCCTCCCCCGCAATCCCCGCCTTTCTACTAAGGTCTAAAGCCATAAAGTTCTATATCCCACTATGTGCTATAGGAATCTCTGAAACTTAATTACATTTACTGCTGCAAAAAAGGGTTTATGAACTCTTGCCTTTAGGCAAAAATGTTTATTTCATTGCCTTTGCTATTCGTTCTTTTCAACTCCATTGCCTTTGAACTCTTCAGCTGCACAGAGTTATCACCATGGTGCAGAAACCAGGAAGTATACTCTTAAGATACAAACCACAAGTTGAAGCAAACGAAGGAGGCAAAGATATAGGAGTCGTTATTTTGGCCACCCTTTGTGCTATTAAAATCTCATTTTCTGCCTATTAGAATGCCCTCTCCCTGCTTAGGCAGTGGTGATAGTCAGTGATTAGTGTGTAATTGAGTATAATTGTCTTTTCACTTTTCATTTGTGTCATTCCAAGCTTCCCTCTGTTTTTTCTCCCCTAAAACCACACAAAGAAAGAGCAGAGAGAAGATAAAGCTGTTAAAACTCTCCCACTCAGCCCTGAAGAGATCCCTGATTGTAATTATAGATTGCTTTTTTCGTCCTTTGTGACATTTGCTCAGAATTCAGTGGACAGCTCCTTTAAACACCTGTGCCAAATCCACATTAATAAAATAAACTACCAAATATTTCAGCAGTCACTCATAATGTCAACCCCCCCAAGGCATATGCCAGAAGTAGGAGATTTAACTAACCAACCTTTTTGAGACTCAATTATCAAGGCAATTTATTAACATGGTCATCCAAGAAAAGCTCATGCAAATTAGGAAAACAATTATGTCCCTCACATACAGTTATAGGCTTCCTGAGTGCAGCAACGCTTTTAATTTCTCCATTGATAACTCGATTACCACTCAGCCTGATGTGTGCTGCTCATTAGCTGAGCCAAACTCCCTTGGATTCTACTTCTATGGTTAAACTTGTATGCACACACATGCACGCACGCAGACATGTACATAAAATCTTCATTTTTTGCACTATAAGCTGATAAAGGAGCAAGGCCACAAACAGTTGCGGGGTGAAGAAGAAAGCTCTTTAAAATAAATTATGAAAGTGGTACATAAGAAATGCCTGACAATTGAATACAAGCAGCAAGTCTTCATGATTACATTATAAAACATTGCCTTAAACTAAATATAAACTGTGACACTCGATTCAGTCAGTAGGAAAGTGGGGAGGGAGGAAACTAGCAAACTGAAATCATGTGGCTGATATAAAGAATACTTTATGGTTTAAATTTGGCAAATCATCGCACGATGGCCTTGAGGAACAGGCAATTGAGTTTGGTTATACAGCAAATCCTGTGTCTGGAAAAGTACTGACCTGAGGTGAAAGGCCGTTGCCAATGGCAGGGTTCATAGGATTTGAGGGTCCAGATGGAGGCACAAAGCTGTCTGTATAGCTGGAAAAACCATGCCTTGTGCTGGGGAGGCAGTAGGCAGAACTGCTCTCTGGGTTCGAAGGCAGGCTGCTTTGGTGGACAGTGCTGGGTGGAAGAGGCTGAGGTCTGTGAACTGTGCTGCTTGGGTCTGACACCGCTGCAATGAAAAGGGGATCCATTTGCATTTTCCCCACATTTTGCATACAATATTCAATGCTAGAAAGTATTCAAGAAAGCAATAATCAAACAAGGTGTGAATATTCTTTTGCGGGGGTAGGGAACCACTTGTATTTCAACCACTTTCTCGTGCCAGTCACGTGACATACAAAGTTTTGGCCATTGTGGCTTGCATCAGTCTTGTACATATCTTCCATGTAAACACCTTTTCCTGTTTCAGGTTTCTTCCTCACTTCCTGGATATGGAAAACCATCATTCTGCATCATGGCCAAATGACATAAACTATGATTTGTGTAAACTAGAGTATGAAGCTGATAGGAAGGAGAAGGGAAGAGAGGTAGAAGAAAGTATGTCATAGCTTTGGTTTGCTGCTATTAAGTCCTTAAAAGAAGGCTGTTGTTAAGTCCTTTAAAAAAAACTTTAACATGTCAACATAACACAAAGGAGTAGGACTCTTCACTTACTGGTATTGTAATCCAATTTCTAATATTGGGTATTGTAAATATTGGGTATTATAAAATACCCAATTCAAGACTTGTCCAGTTGGCTAGTCTTCTTGACCCACTTTTAAAGAACTATAGGATTGAGCAATTAAGACATCCTTGTTCCATGAAACTTTTGTAGTCATATCATAGTGAAATGGCTTAGAAGACTCTACTAAGCACCCCTATCATACCCCCTCCATGCAATTATAATTCAGAGTTCCTTAATGGAACACATTTCCTGACAACTGAATTATTTTAACATTGGATGATACGGTAGATATGATGGTTTCAGAATTGTTCACTGAAATTCTAGAGATCAGAACAAATAGTCCTTTCTTGGTCTGGCTGTGCCGTGCTTTAGGATTTCCACTATTATCAATCCCACCCTGAGCTAGAACAGTCATACAATGTATTGACTGAGCAGTGATTGTCACTTGTCCTGTAGAATGTAATCAGACTTTCTATTATTTTTTTAAACCTGTCAAACTAGAGAATAAATCCAATTCCATATTTCTTTACCCAGCATGTTGTTAGTCTGTGGAACTCATTGCCACAGGATGTAGTGATGACACCTGGCCTAGATACCTTTAAAAGGGGATTGGGCAGGTTTCTAGAGGAAAAGTCCATCGCAAGTTACAAGCCATGACTGGGATGTATAATCTCCAGGTTTAAAAGGAAGGTACCTCAAAATGTCAGATGCATGGAAGGGGTATCAGGAGACAGGTATCTAGTTGTGCTCCCGGAAGCATCTGGTGGGGCTACTGCGAGATACAAGAAGCTGGACTAGATGGGCCCTTGGACTGATCCAGCAGGGCTTTTCTTCTATTCTTATGTTCATACTTGTACTTGATTACTACTGCAACAGAACTCTCCTCTTTCCTTCATGCAGGCTTTCTGTTAATGAGGGGCTCTGGTCTGAGGAACGGGGGTTGTTGCTGTTTAGTCTGACTCTTTGAGACCCCATGGACCAGAGAACGCCAGGCCCTCCTGTCTTCCACTGCCTCCCGGGGTTAGGTCAAATTCATGTTGGTAGCTTCGATGACATTGTCCATCCATCTCGTCCTCTGTTGTCCCCTTCTCCCCTTGCCTTCACACTTTCCCAACATCAGGGTCTTTTCCAGGGAGTCTTCTCTTCTCATGAGATGGCCAAAATATTGGCACCTCAGCTTCAGGATCTGTCCTTCCAGCAAGCACTCAGGGCTGATTTCCTTCAAAATGTTCTCCTTGCAGTCCAGGGGACTCCCAAGAATCTCCTCCAGCACCACAATTCAAAAGCATCAATTCTTCGGTAGTCAGCCTTCTTTATGGTCCAGCTCCCACTTCCATGCATTGCTACAGGAAAAACCATAGCTTTGACTTTGCGGACTTTTGTTGGCAAGGGGATTTCTCTGCTTTTTAAGATGCTGTCGAGGTTGGTCATCACTTTCCTCCCAAGAAGCAGACGTCTTTTAATTTCGTGGCTGCTGTAACCATCAGCAGTGTTTAGGGAGCCAAAGAAAGTAAAATCTGTCACTGCCTCCATATCTTCCCTTCTATTTGCCAGGATCTGATGGGACTAGTGGCCATGATCTTGATTTTTTTGATGTTGAGCTTCATACCGTTTTTTGCACTCTCCTCTTTCACCCTCATTAAGAAGTTCTTTAATTCCTCCTCACTTTCTGCCATTAGAGTGGTATCATCTGCATATCAGAGGTTATTGATATTTCTTCTGGCAATCTTAATTCTGGCTTGGGATTCCTCCAGTACAGGCTTTCGCATGATGTGTTCTGTATATAAGTTAAATAAGCAGGGAGACAATATACAGCCTTGTTGTACTCCTTTCCCAATTTTGAACCAATCAGTTGTTCCATGACCAGTTCTAACTGTTGCTTCCTGTCCCACATACAGGTTTCTCAGGAGATGGATAAGGTGGTCAGGCACGCCCAT